AAAAAAAAAAAAAAAAAAAAAAACCGGATGACAAGCACTGCTACGCTCGCCGAAATAGACGGAACAACGGGACAACACCAACCGCGATGCAGACAAGATTACCACACCAAAACTTTTCTTTTTTCTTTTCTTTTTTTTTTTTTTTGGACCATTTCTCGATTTATGCGTGTCATCCTTGAAAGCGCAGGGGCCATGCTAATCTTCAGTCTCTGTATCGTTCCAATTTCAACGGATGTCCCGAAGGACATACCAAAACAAATTCTACCATATCCATAGTCAAAGGAAAAAAAAAACGGAACCATACATACAGAAGGCCCGCAAAACGAAATACCCCAGCAAAGGGGAAGAATAAAGGAAAAGGGACAAGAAAAGGAGGAATGACAGGAACGAATTAAAAATTTATTTTCTGCCATAACAAAAGCAAAGCCTGCCAATACAGGCCCGACGCTCGCCGCATCATCTACAAAAGCAGAGAAGACGATTGATAGGGATGTAAGATTCACCAGTGACCTTTGGCAGGGCTTAGCCGAAAAAGCATCGGTACTACAACCTGAAGATGAATTGAGGAAATCATCTTGAAGCCAATGATCAATCTGAGCAAGATGAACAAACAAGTGTTTCATCAGCTACTTGGGCATAGCGTCACCCCTGATGAGCTTGATTGGGACATCAAACTACCTACCTTAGATATAGCTGGACTGCATAGCAGTGCAGTACATTCAGCCACAGGCTGAACCTGGAGTTAGCTGCATTTGGGCTGAAAACCAAAAACACTATTGGATTTCTTTTTCTCAGATCCTAAGTCAGATTCCAAAAAAAAAAAATTCTTCTTTGTCCTGGCCCCTGGGTCCATGCCCCGATCTATTTGTGGGGAGCAACACGTGCGGGGACCTGGGCCCAGTGTCCCTTATGAAGTTAGATTCTACCCACGGCAGTAAAGACTTTTTTTTTTTTTTTTTTTCTCTCTGGCAGTAAAGACTTTTGCCATGGAGTACAAACGAACTTCGCAGAAAGAACTCTGTAGAACAACTTCACAAAAATCCCCGCAAAGTTCGCAAAACTATAATAGGAACAGAAAATCAGCATAGGTGCCATAAGAGGGTGCCTACTTTTCCGCAGCTTTGGGCAAGAGCCACGCGGACAGAGAATGTGAGAGAGGAGGCTAGTTGATTGGCTAGCGTAGGGACTCGGGAAGTAGTACTTAGGCGGTGACATCATAGCGTAGGAGGTAAGAAGGCGGCTTTCAATCTCCAGAGACTTCGCTTTTTTTTTCCCCTTTTCTTTTCCTTTCTTTTTCTTTTTTTGGCATCCGCCAAGTACGCTAGTGGTGGTGATAGGGGGACACACCGCTAGCAGACCGGAGCAGGATGGCTCAATCTATCGGTGGGGACTCTGGGAGAACCACCTGCTGGAAAACGAGTCCCATGTCCCTATTCCAAGATGGTTGGTACATGAATACACTCTTTGTACAGAAGTCTGGTTGCAGCCTGCCTCTTCAGTCTGAGAGGACCACGCGATATACCATAACTACCGTCTTCACCCGAATAGAACGCCCGGTAATTATGCCCGTATCTGGACTGAAAAATGCATCGAATACGGCTATAATGACCGGGCGTTCTATTCGGGTGAAGACGGTAGTCTCTTCTTACTGCCATTGAGAGACTTCAGCATTTAGTCTATCCATGTAACAACAGTTCTGGTGTCCTCTCAATGGCTGGTCCATTGCAAATTGAGACTCATCAATTAGTCTATCCATGTAACAACACTTCTGGTGAGCATTTAGTCTATCCATGTAACAACAGTTCTGGTGTGCTCTCAATGCCTTGTCAATTCTGCTTTCAATGTGGTGAATTGAATTCATGCGGGGTCTTCAACGAGTTCTTCGCGATCTAAATTCTAAATTTTCATGGTGCTCACATGCTGGTCCCCATTGCAGTTGAGACTCGTCAAGTCAATGTGCTATGGAATTTTGCAATCATGTCTTCTTTCTTGCTGTCATCCTCCCCCTTTGATTGTCCGTCCCGGCAATTTGATTATCCGTTGCAGACTTTTTCTTTTCTCCTCACATGTATCGCATGTTAGATGAGCATGCCAAATGCGGCGGAATGAAACACGCATGTAACTGACTGTTGATAAACACACAGATCAGGAGTTCAAATCCTGAGGGAACCAGATGCATACAGTAATGTCACGGGCTACGCCCTTTTATGTGTGTGTGTGTGTGTGGCGGCGGCGAAGGGGGTGCGAGGGTCGATGACGAGGATGCCTAAAGGTAGAGGACCTCTGAAGTGACAGGAGAAATCATAGGACGTGAACAGCCAAGGGCAACGAGTGCAAAAGCAGTGCGAGGGAGGATTGCCGCCACTGTTCCTGCCTACTCTCAGCACTCGCCTTAAGGCTCTCAGTTTGGCTCTTTCTAGGTCAGTTTGGCTCTTTTTTCCAGGTCAGTTTTGCTCTTTCTAGGTCAGCACTCTCCTTAAGGCTCTCCTTAAGGCTCTCCTTAAGGCATAGCCAGCAACCCTACCTCCTTACCAGTGCATTTATTGTCATTGGAGGGCTGCTGAGTGCAAAAGGTAGGAAGCAGAGGAAGCAGTCTTCTGCAGTTTGCTGCTGGCGATGGCAGTAGAGGGGTTTGATCGCAGGGGTTCAAACTTCAAAGTGTCATCTTTTGTGTCTCTTCTCCCTTGTCACAGCACCTCTGCCTTTCTGGGAATTTAAACCACCACCAGTACATCCGGGCCTCTTTTGTACGAGGCAGATTCCCCGTGCGCACCAAGCTTTGCCGAAACACCAGCGCGGAGTTTGAAATTCGGTCTTGCTTTAGCTGGCACCGCCAGCCATTTTGATCCCCGAGCCCCGAGGCTCAATCGGGATTCTCAAGTTGGCCGGGGCCATGTAGTGGTGGTGGTCCAAAGCTCCAAGTGTCGCAGGCAGGCAGGCAGGCAGGCAGGCAGGCAGGCAGATAGGCGGCCAGTGTGATGCGGGCAACCGTTGGCAAGCAAGCAGCGAACATGCAACGAGCTCGTGCAACAAACAAACAGTTCGCTGGCGGGGCGAGCATGTGGGTTGCTTTGCAAATCTGCAGGGGGGCGAAGCTCAGTCTGCAGGCAGGCAGGCAGGCAGACAGACAGGCAGACAGGCAGACAGGCAGGCAGGCAGGCAGGCAGGCAGGCAGGCAGGCAGGCAGACAGGCAGGCAGGAGGGCCTGTGTGCAGGCAGGGAGACGGGCATGCATTCATTTTGGCACGTAGATTGACAGCAGGGAGATGGGCGCGCATGTACGCAGGGCGTTGCGCAGACAGGCAGGCAGGCAGGTAGGGGTCGAGCGTACAGGCAGGGACACTGGCCAGCTGGCAGCCTGACAAGTGGTAGGTGCCCAGGCAGGCTGGATGGCAGGCAAACCCGCCAGTGATTCCAATTGATAGATAGATATAAGGAAAAAGACGAAAAGAATGGATACATTGCATTCGATATGGTATCGAATGGAGAAGCACAGACACATAGGTATGTCCACATTGACTCCAGAAACAGACAGAGGACTCCATGGGAATGGAACATGTGTTTTCTTCTTTTGGTGTGTTTCGTGTTTCTCTGTTTTGAAACGCGCCGCTGTCTCACAGTGTCATCATGGGAAAGCATCTCTTCTTGAGAGAGAACCAACCGCTCCATGTATGTGTTGCAAGGATGACCACTACGTCACAAACAAACAGAGTGGCAATTTGCCAATTCGGCAAACCAAAAAACAAGGATTCGAACCACGAAGCAAAGCCTCGAAACATAACTCGGAAGCATTCTGCACACATGTGCATGTCATCATCATAAATTCAAAAAAGAGAAAAGTACAAACCTATGAATTCATGATGACTCTTCCTAAAATACTTTCTGCAATACTCTACAACATATTATAAAGGAGGACGACAGACGATATAATCTCGGCATTTGTTCCTCACTACGGCCGTAGGGTGAACAAGCCCGACAGGAGCCTACACTAAAAGGCCTTTCATTCTGTCAAAACTCAGCAAACCCCTTACCTCAACCTGCAGGCTGTACAAGGACATCATGCCCCACTCACCGCCATGGCCGCCGCCTATCTTTTGTTTTTGCAAGCCCCTTTGCTCGACACATTGGGGCAGGGCAGGGGGAAAAGGGGGCGGATGGAGGATGGCAGGTATAGCAAATGCACGCGCTCGATCACATATTCTGCACTACTCGACAGATCTTTGCTCTCGGCAGAGATCTGGCGCAGTGTCAGAAACATTAAGAAGAAGGAGGGAGGGAGGGAGTCACATTCAGAATACCACATGCAGGCGGAGTCGGCAAAAAGTGCCAAAATCCTCTCCCAACAGGTGGAGTTGGGGGAAATGCCAAAATCCTCTCCCGATCAGTGCAACACAAGCATGCGTCCGCTTCCACCCAGGTGAGCCGTCGACAGCTTATAGGTCGTACACAAGGGACTTTTGGCGATGTATCTGCTCTTGGTGTCAGCCAGATCCAGTCAAAAGAGCACTAGCTAGTGCTTACGGGGCCTTAGGCAGCAACTCCCTGGTTCTTTGCGGAGATGGCCTGTTGGATGTGGGTAGGCACGACCTCAAACTTCTCCAGCTGCATTGTGTAATTGGCTCTGCCCTTTGTCAGTCCCCGCAGATTGCTCACGTATTGGAACATCTCCGACAAGGGGACAAAAGCGCTGACAACCTGTGCCAAACAAAGCACAAGAAAATATATCAGTACGTACTCCCGGGGAAAGAAAAAAAAAAGACTCAAATAAATTGCGGTGCTCAGACATGCGTGGCATGCGTGGAGGTGGCATGCGTGGAGGTCGGTGCACAACAATCAACACTTGAAAACTGGACTTAGAAGATAAGAGGTTAGGTAGAGTGAGGTATGTGAGTGAGGAATATAGATTTTATTAGATTAGTTGAAAAAAAAAAGAAAAAAACTACTTAAAATTAATAAATTATCAAATATCTTACAAGTTACAACAATATAGCTAGGCTACCAGAGTGGCCCGGGTCCACTCGCCCAGCCGGGCCAAAAAAATATAAAAATTTAAAAATATTAAAAAAACAATAAATATTTTTATTTTAAAATTTTAAAATTTTATTTTAAATTTGGTAAAGAATTTCGATGTGACCCTGAGGCAAAAGTTGTTCAGTTTATTTTTCTGCATAACATTTAGTTTTTTTTTCCGGATTTTTTTGATTTTTTTTGGCTGGGACCTTCCCTGGTCTTTGCACGGCTGGGCCGCCCGGGAAAATAGGGTGACACGGGCGGCCCGGCTGGTAGCCTAGCAATACAGAATAATAAATCACTTTTAAATCTCTCTTTTTTTTTCTTTTCTTTTTTTCTTTTCTTAATGCTGTTGGGAGCCCTTTCCCCTCTCTCATTTCGTTCGTCAGCATTTCTCTTGGCGAACCCCCGCTGCTCCCTCCATCTAAGCCCTCAGGCTGCTACGTTCTCGACAACTGATCCGGCAAATAGCACACGCGGACTTCGGCCGCAGGCACCAGCACTGGGTACGAAGACCCAGCCCCGGTTGAAGCACTGTCGTACCGACCTTGTTGCAGAACATACTTCAGATGATATATATTATATACCCCCCCCCCCCCAAAAGGTTTGCAACCAAGAGTGTCCCTTCATGAACTACCACAGGCAGTGTCTAATGGTTGTATTCCAAAGCCTAACCTATGCGGCCGCTAACATTGGTAGCCTGCCCCTTTCTGCATGCTGTATGAAATCGTATTCAGCTGCATGTTGTATGTTCTTTTACAGTATATCCTTGTCTGAGCTGATCCGCAGTCTGTAATATATCTCCATCTTCCTGAAGGGAAGAGAGGGCATCGCGTAATGCTGTCATGCGAGACCCTTTTCCCAGTTGGCCCCAAGGCAGGATGATGCTGTTTTGTGCTTTCACGAGCGTTTCGGCTGTTGTGTTGTTGTTTTTTTGGGGGGGGGATTTGACTCATTTGAGGCGTTGTCAGATATGTTTGTTTTGTCCTTTCAGAGGTTTGGTGTTGTCGGTAGGGGCACGGTCCCAGTCAGAGAACTGTGTTTGTCCTTTCAGGCCTTGTCGTGTTTGTTTTTGCTTTCATTCCGCGCATTGGTTGTTTCCGGCGTGTTTTTATGTTTTTCACCCCACGCCTTTGTCGTTTTCGGGACGTTTTTTGTTTTTCACCCTGCGCGTGCGTCGCTTATGCGCTTCGACATTGTTGGCTAGGTCCTCCTTCCTGGGACAGTTGTACCCAGAAAATGCAACTTTTACAGTCCTCCTTCCTGGGACAGTGGATGGGCCCAGTCTCTGGAAATTTTACGGGCCTTCCTGGGCCTCTGGCTGGGTCCAGTCTCTGGCCCATCAGCTTAAGCTGATTTTTTTTTTGGATAAAAAAAGGACTGTTGGAACAAGGCTAGAGTATAACACCTGCTGTTGAGGCTAAGCAGATATATACCTACACCCCTTCCTGCTTACGCCTACCTCAACCCCTTCCTTGCTGCGTTTCTGAAAACCAGAGATACCTATACCCCTTCCTGCTTACTAGGTTACGCAGAGACACCTTGTCGCCTTCCTGCTTATGCTAAGCAGCAGAGATACCTCAACTCCACAGAGTCCAGACCCTTCTTCACCTTCAACTCTAAAGAGTCTCAGCAGAAACTCCTCATGCTCACCTTTCCCCTTTGCCCTCTGTGTGCCTTCTTCATGCTCAACGCATACTTATCATGGTCCTTCTTTCTCACTTCTGACATGTTCCCACATACTTCTAATGGACGTATCTGGCAGCATTAGCAGCCACGTTCGGTTGCAAAGGTCTTAATGTGCAGAGGATCCCGCTCCCCTTTTCTCGCTACATTTCCACATTGGGAGGGGTTCAGAACTCCAGAGCCAAAAAAAAAACATATAGCGCTACCGTCTTCACCCGAAAAGAACACCCGGTCATTACCGCTGCATCTGGACCGAAAGTTGTGCCAAATACAGATATAATGACCAGGCGTTCTATTCGGGTGAAGACGGTAGCACTTCCACTGTAATCGAATCTTTTTTTCTTTTTTTTTTTTCAGACTGTAAATGGTTTATCCGGCATATGGGTACGTCGGCCGGGTTGGATCACCACCCGTGGAAGGAATAAAGCACACTTAAAAAGTTGCAGTCTTTTCCCGCGGTGTTGCCAAAAATCAAGACTTTCTGTCAGTTTTTTAACTTTTTTCTAAGAAAAACAATAGAAGCTATAGAAGTTAATAGAACCCTTCTTTTGCTTTTGCACTTTTGATGTTCGAACACAGTCCAAAAAAAGACAGATTGGCATGGCATAATTTTAGCTAATGCAGTCTTTTGAACTCTTTTTTTCGACTTTTACGCTTTTTCTCTTCCCCTGCCCCCTTTTCAAGTGCAGTAATAGATATTACATATTATTATATAATAGATAAGATAATGATCGTTCCATTCTTAGCACAATAACCATCGATCCTTGGATTTTTTTCAGCACGTGACGAGTGCCACGGATGGAGGGTATAGGACACACACATGCACACCTACCTTCATTCCTCCTGGTTTCTCGCCAAAGAATTCAATCTGGCCTCGCCGGGAGTTCAGGTCTCCGATAACGTCACCCAGGTGTTCCTCCGGCGTAAGAACTTCCACCTTCATGATCGGCTCAAGAAGCCTCGGTCCTGCCTTGGACACTCCTTCTCGGAATGCGCCCCTCGCCGCAAGCTGGAATGCGAGCACACTCGAGTCCACTTCATGGTAGGATCCGTCGACAAGTACCGCCCGGACATCCACGACTGGATAGCCGGCCAATACGCCATTGGACATGCACTCCTGGAGACCCTTCATGACTCCAGGGATATACTCCCTCGGAACAACACCGCCTTTGATTTCACTTTTGAACTCGTACCCGCTACCGGCCTCCATGGGCTCAAATCTCACAACAATCTCTGCAAACTGCCCTTGTCCTCCCGATTGCTTCTTGTGGACGTACTTCACCTCCGAGACCCTCGATATGCTTTCCCTGTAATTGACCTGTGGCGCACCGACATTGGCTTCCACCTGTGAAAGACGGGGAGAGTCAGGGAACAAAGGAACAAGCAAAAACAGATGGTCATCAACCACGAACATCTGGTCAGCCTCGTGGCATCCTCACGTATATACATGCAACACGAACGAACTTGCATCATCTACATCTATACTGAGCGACACCTGAAAGACCCGAGAGTCCAGACACAACACCCCACTAACGCACCGCCACGACCGGTTGAGAATCTGAAAACGGAGACGCAAAAAAAAGAAGGTAGGCTGAAACACCGGAGAGTCGGCGGAGACCAAACTGGCTGGGCCGCGAGCCAACGTACTGTTGCTCCCTTTCACAATGATAAGAAGCGGTGGTGATTAAAAAGTTATCTATTTTTTATGGTAATCTGCCTGTTCAAAAAGTAGCAAAGAAAACGTATACTTATTTAGACAAACAAAAGAGTTTGTTATTATTAATGGAGAAAAGATTGGACATTCTTCTTGTACGTATGAATTTTTGCTCTACTATTTTTACAGCAAGACAGCTTAAAGTAGAGGCTGAAAACGGAGTTGCAAAACAAGGTGCTAAGGTGTTGTTGTTGCGAGAGGAGAGGCGGTTAGCGGCGGCAAAAAAAAGTCAGACAACTTGTCATGCCATTTATAACAAAACCCCCAAGGGTCATTTTAACCACTTGTGTGCGAGAGAGTTCATGATGATGAGGAGTGGTGTGTCGTGAAGTCGAGGGAAAATTCTTGGGACAGTCACAGTGGCCCCTTTTTGCGTTTGCATGACGCCCTTTCAAAGTATAGCGCGCACGCTAGAATGTGATCGCTTTGAAACTTGCAATAATATATAATAATAATAATGACACCTGCACACTTATTCCAAGCCACAGAGTGTCAGCGTGATGCCATTATCAGCAAACAAACAATGCATGAGCCTATGTTCAACAGAACAAGCGGCAGGTAACACACGCCACAACCCCCTCTCTGCTGGATGAGACCTCCCAGATCGACACATGAGCTCTGCATCAATGACAGTCACTCACGTACTTTGAAGCGAAGACTGCCAGCATCCCTAAAAAACTATGGGACAAGGACAAAAACTGCACTCGCCTACATTCAATGGAACAACAGTTCTGAGTAATACACACCGTGCCCTAACTAAACTACTTCCTCCCTCCTCGATGGGGGGTGGTTGGGAAGACGGGGGGGAGGGAGGACGAGGACGGACGGAGGGGCCACTTACCTTGAACTCACGACGAAGTCTGTCGACAAGGATCTCGAGGTGCAGCTCGCCCATTCCTTCAATCACAGTCTGATTGGTTTCTTCATCTCTTGAGAAATGGAAGCTGGGATCCTCTTGCGCAAGCTTGATTAATCCCGTGGCCATCTTATCAACGTCTGCCTTTGTCTTCGGCTCAATGGCTACCTTGATTACGGGGTCAGGGAAATCCATCCGCTCAAGGATGATGGGTTTGTTCAAATCGCAAAGCGTATCTCCCGTGATCGTCTCCTTGAGGCCTGCCAGCGCAACAATGTCACCCGTCCTTGCCACTTTGATGTCTTCCCGACTGTTTGCATGCATCTCCAAGAGCCGCCCAACGCGCTCCTTCTTGTTCTTTGCCGAGTTGAGAACGTAGGAGCCGCCAGTCAGCACGCCACTGTAAACCCGCAGGAACGTCAGCGAGCCAACGAACGGGTCCGTCATGATCTTGAACGCCAAGCCGCTGAAAGGCTCCTTATCGTCCGGTATGCGGATCATCTCCTTCTCCGCATCATCCATATCCGTTCCTCTCATGGGCGGAAGGTCTAGCGGCGATGGGAGGAAGTCGACAACTGCGTCTAGTAGCAACTGAACCCCTTTGTTTTTGAATGCAGACCCACAGAGCACGGGCACAAAAGCACCGTTGATTGTCCCCTTCCGGATGAGCTTTTTGAGAGTTTCTTCGTCGGGTTCGTTTCCTTCCAAGAAAGCCTCCATTGCTTCGTCATCCTGCTCTACCGCAATCTCCACCATCATCTCCCTGTACTCCCTCGCTTGCTCTGCCAGGCTGTCGGGAATGGGCTGGTAAGAATACTTGGCACCCAACTCCTCGCCAGACCACACCACAGCCTCCATCTTGAGAAGATCGATCACGCCTTCAAAATTCTCTTCTGCGCCAATCGGTAGCTGCAGCACCATAGGATTGGCTCCAAGATTGCTCTTGATCATGTCGCGGGTGCGGAAGAAGTTTGCACCCATTCTGTCCATCTTGTTTACGAAGCAAATTCGAGGGACACCGTACTTGTCAGCTTGACGCCACACAGTTTCCGACTGGGGCTCCACGCCAGCCACGCTGTCAAAAAGGCAAATTGCCCCGTCCAGCACGCGTAGCGCACGCTCCACCTCCAAGGTGAAGTCCACGTGACCCGGAGTATCAATGATGTTGATCCTGGTTCCCTTCCACTCGCAAGTGGTTGCAGCCGATGTGATTGTGATTCCACGCTCTTGCTCTTGTTCCATCCAGTCCATTGTGGCAGTCCCTTCATGAACCTCGCCAATCTTGTAGTTTTTCCCGGTATAGAACAGAACTCGCTCTGTCGTCGTCGTCTTTCCTGCATCTATGTGTGCCATAATACCGATATTTCGGTAGTGTTCTAGAGGAAACTCTCTGGCTGGAAAGCAGGAACACAAAAACAGTCAGCACCAGATCATCACCGTGCCCCTTTCCCCCTCTCCCCTCTCCCCCCACCCCACCCTTCCCCTCAATAAATTATGTTGTGCTCTCTCTCTCTCTCTCTCTCTGTCTGTCTGTCTGTCTGTCTCTGTGTGTTTTAGATTTCCCCCACAACAGCCCCAATTCCACCCAGGTGAATAGATTCAGAATCAAAGCAGTCTTTATCCTATTGCAGACAACGAGAGCATTTGAGATGTCCAACATATTAAAGCAATTTTATAATTAGACAGTTTTTTGGTTGTTCTTGGGGTAAAAGGGAAGGTATGCTCCTGTGCATCTCTTCAGATCTTCAGCTTATACAGCCTTTGTGTCCGTCCTTCATCTTCATACTTCCGTTCATTTCATTTCTGATCTTCATATCGTCTATACTCTTAGTGATGCTCATTCATATGTATTTGTTAGTAGTACAAAGGGAGTGGAGGGGAGGGTGGAGGGTAAGGGATAGAAGGCGGAGTTCTCTAGGAGTATGGGGCAGGGGAGGTAGGGGCAACGGGAAGGAAATAAATATGTGGAGGGCAGGATAGAGTGAGGATAGCACACCTGCGCCACATGCAATGCTATGGAAACAAAAGGACCGGATACAGAAACAGAAGGAGGGGCAAACGGAGGAAGGAACCAAGGATGTGGTGACGATATGGAAACACAAGGTGCGAACTGCTATGCTGTGGCAGACAGACTGACTTCTTCAGTGAGATTGTCATTGGTTGAGTCACATGACCTCAGCAGATGCATTCACAGCGGAGCAAGACAAAGATCCATCCATGCTAATTAATTAATCAATCTGCAGACTCTGCAGAACACATCGAACTGCTTAACTAATTCATCATAGTCTGTGAAAGATCCATCTGCAGTAGATCCGTTTTAATTCATTAGTTAATCAACTACCGTCTTCACCCGAATAGAACGCCCGGTAATTATCGCCGTATCTGGGCTGAAAGTTGTGCCAAATACAGCTATAATGAACGGGCATTCTATTCGGGGGAAGACGGTAGTCTGCAGACTCTGCAGAACACATCGACCTGCGGACTGCTAAACTAATCACTTACCTTCTTCCCCCGAATACAACGCATGGGCATTATAGCTGTATCTAGACTGAAAGATGCCTCAAATACTTTGTATTCGGGGGAAGAAGGTAGTCTCCAGACTCTGCAGAACACATCGACCTGCTGTGCGTTCTTCTAACGTTTTGTGCAGACCCCCATGGGATCAATCATGAATACGCCCATCGCTGCAAAAGACGCAGACTGTCATTATTATTCTTTGTCAATATTAATTTGTGAAAAGAAAAGAAGGGGGAGAAGGAAAAAAAAATATTTTACTCATGGATCCATTGATTGCATTCTATTCCAGGGGCAAGGTCCCAGTTACGCGGCCCAAGAAATGCTGACCGTGGCTCCTCTCTTTATCTGCAGCCGGTATCTCTTAGTCACTGCAAATCGGACCTCGCTGCAGGGAGCAATGATCTGGTTGCTTTTTCTTCCACCCAGCAAGTCTCAAAACAGAGTATTCAAATTTCAAATTACTACAAGATACTTATAAAATTCAAGATCATCAAGTCCAATCTTGGTACTAGCAAAAGCCATGGCAAGCAGAATCCGAAATATGACGGATTAATGCTTCCACTTAGACCACGCTGGTTCTATCCTCGGTTGGGAGGCACATCATCCATATCCTAACGGCGCTCAACGAACAAGATCATCAAGTCCCATCTTGGTATTAGCAAAAAGTTATGGCAAGCAGAATCCGAAACGCGACGGACGAATGCTTCCACTTAGACCACGCTGGTTTTATCCGCGGGAGGTACATCGTCCATAACGTAACGGTGCTCGACGAACGACGCCTCCATATTGTCCCCATCTTACAGAGCCCTAAAAGAACTTAACAACAGAGTCAGATGCTTCATATGCACAGGTGATCCCTCCAAACAATCCTCTGCATAAACAAAAGTAGCCTGGCAGTTCGTCACAAGGAAACCAGGGAAGGAGGTCTGGGGTTGCTAGATCCAAAACAGGAAGTTTTTTTGTATTTGTAAATACATTTTTTATAAGTCCGCACTGTCCAACGATCGAACACGTGACCTCCCTATCCAGAGGCAAACACTCGACCAAACAGTAAAGGAAACCAGGGGAAGGAGGTCTGGGGCTGCTAGATCCAAAACAGGAAGTGCTCGCACTGCAAATCAAATGGATAAAAAAGAAAGTTTTATACACCGCAGCTCTCACTCCTTCGGACCCGAATAACACACTAGACAACATTCCGAAAATTGCCCCAGCTACCGTCTTCACCCAAATGGAACGCCCTGTCATAATCGCGGCATCTGGACCGAAAGTTGTGCCAAATACAGCGATAATGACCGGGCATTCCATTCCGGTGAAGACGGTAGGACCCCTAAAAATACAGATGGCACCTTTTGGGTCATGGCAAAGGAATGGACAATAAAATCAGATCTCCCGAAAAGACCAAGGGCGACCCCCAATACCCCGTTGAGAGCCAGATCGCACCCCAAAAAAACAGAAGCGGTCCCGGGCCGCCTTTCTCCAAGCTTGAAAGGCACCTGATGCCTAGGAAGTTGCATAAACCTAAAAGACCAAAGAAAAAGCAGTGAGGCAAGCCCTGTTGGTTCTGGAACCAGTGGCTGGCAAAATGAAGAAGGAATCGATCGGTCCCTGCTTTCTCAAAGATGCTAAATGGTTGTGATGGATAGAGACTCATTAGAGAGAGGACCTATGACCAAAGAAGAAGCGCTGAGACAACCCCTGTTCTGCAACCAGTGGCTGGCTGGCAAATGAAGGACTCCCCCGTTCCCTGTTTTCCAAAGAAAAAAAATGCTAAATGGCTGTCGTGGATAGAGGGGAGGGGAGTATGGACGGATAGAGCATCGCTGAAACGAAACAAGGAAGACCTGGAAGACTGTAGCGAGACTAAGAAAGTCCATAAAAGGCTGTCACTCTCTGGCCAACAATCTGTTTAAATTTTAAAATCATATAATATAATAGCTGTCTCTTATACACATCTAGATGTGTATAAGAGACAGCCCCTGTTCTGCAACCAGTGGCTGGCTGGCAAATGAAGGACTCCCCCGTTCCCTGTTTTCCAAAGAAAAAAAATGCTAAATGGCTGTCGTGGATAGAGGGGAGGGGAGTATGGACGGATAGAGCATCGCTGAAACGAAACAAGGAAGACCTGGAAGACTGTAGCGAGACTAAGAAAGTCCATAAAAGGCTGTCACTCTCTGGCCAACAATCTGTTTAAATTTTAAAATCATATAATATAATAGAGAGCGTCCCACTCTACTGGATTCAACTGTCTAGGCAGATGGAAATGAGAAGACTGGGGACTCCTCATGACACAACAAAACTCCTATATATGGTAGTCCTGCACCTTCAAAAATTCATCAAAAAAGAATAGAAGCCCACAGCTGTCGGCCAAATTAAAGTCACTGCCATACCCAAGGGTGTGTATCAGCGAGCCAGAATACGAAGGACTGGGAAATACCCACCTCAGGGAAGTACCGAAGGGACTTGTTGCCTAGGAAGTTGCATAAATGTAAAAGACCAAAGAAACCAGAGGGAAATACCGAAGGACTGGGAAATACCCACGTCAGACCTGGAGACAGTCGTCCTAGACGTTTTCCTGTTAAGGAAAATAAGGGAAGGGTCATCAAAGCTGAGTCAGCTGACACTAGGACGATTTTCGAGCCCCTTCCAAGGGTGTATCAGCGAGCTAGAATA